CGCCGAGCAGGGAGCCCGATGCGGGACTCGATCCCGGGACTCCAGGATCATGACCTGAGCCGAAGGCAGTCGCTTAACCGACTGAGCCACCCAGGCACCCGGGTATTTGTCTTTTTTAATCCCTAAATTGTACTGTTCCTTTAGAAAGAAAAGCCTTTCTTTTTTATATCTTGACTAGTTTTCTGAAAGTGTTTGCATAATTTTGAAGTGTAGTCAAATGGTCCATATGTATTTCAAGTGGATTTTTAAATAATTGCTTATTTAAAATGTAAAGACATTTTATGTTATATATAACCAGCAGTATTTAACAGGGAAAATGTTGACTTCAGGGTTATCTGCTGATTTGCCAAATATCAAGTCTGTGTCTGGCTTTATGTTGGCTGTTTCATGCTTACCAAATGTCACAGCATACATTTTTACTAATGACTTTTTTAATTATTATTTTAGTTTCCTTGTAGTAAATATGGATTTGGTTCATGTTAGTTTTATTAGTGGATATATAAAATCTAGGTTTTGTTTCTTTGAGTAGTAAAGTCTCAAATTTATGCCTATTTGGCCTACTTTGATAGCTTTTTCCTAATGAATTTTTTGTTTAAAAATGTTTCCTGGAAGTGGTACATCTACTCCTCAATAACTGACCAGAAGGCACCTTTGAGAAGAAACTTTTTCAATGAAGAAAATGTTTAAGTTGTCATTTTCCACCCCTCTTTAACAAAGAAATGTTTTTATAATCTTAGTGTTACAACCCAGCTTTTAATCCTAGTCTGTAGCCATCTAATTACATATAGTTGTAATTAAGTGGCTTGTAAGCATTTCTCAATTACCTTTATTGCACAAATCTTTGAATATACTTCATCTATGCATACAACAGATTTTTAGAATGTATCTAGTCCTATACAACAGGAATTAAATATATTCATATTTGAGCAGTATTTAACCTTTTGAATGTCACATTATTGTAGAAGGGAGTGAGGATGAAAAAGCAAATGTTTTAGAACATAAATTTGAACTAAGTCATAAAGGTTCTGTGGTTCATTTCCTGAAGTGTTAAGAATCTGATTTATTTAAAAAAAAAAAAAGAAAAGAAAATGATTTATAAGGTTCAATTTCAAGTGGATTTTTTTTTTAAATGCTTATTTAAAATGTAAAGAAATTTACTGATCTGTAACTAGCATGTCCAACAGGGAAATTATTGACTTTAAGGTTATCTACTGATTTGCCAAATATCAAGTCTATGTCTGGCTTTATGTTGTCTGTTTCATGTTGATAAGATGTCACAACATGCATTTTTTACTAGTGGCTTTTTTTTCATTGTTTATTACAGACTTCCATTATTTTATCACTAACCAGTTAAAGAGCTTCCAATTTGATTTATTTTGGCGAAAGTTTCATTTTAAAATTCTTTTCGCAACTCTGAGTTGCAAAAAGAGTATTTTGTTTCTGTGGGAAGTTTCCATGATATACTTCAGTAATAGAAGACATCTAGTGGAATGTATACTGTGATATTTTCTCAGGAAAACTGCATTAAATGTTTAAAATGTTATTTATTGCCTTCTTAATTTGGACATCAGCTGTCGGCTAATTTGGTGAAAGTAAATAACCTTAGTATTGTGAAAATGGGGCTTATAAGTTCCTTATGCATACAAAAATACCATGACCTATTTTTTATTCTATCTGTGCAAAGACATTAAATATTATGATCATATAGTTGTCTTTAACTGATAAATTTTAGGTATCATTTGCCTTTTTTTCTTTCAATAAAAGTAGAGCATATATTTGATAAACATTATTAAACTGATTTTGCTTTACTGATTTTTTTTTTTTAGATTTTATTTATTTGAGACAGAGAATGAGAGAGAGAGAGCACATGAGCGTGGGGAGGGTCAGAGGGAGAAGCAGACTCCCTGCTGAGCAGGGAGCCGGATGCGGGACTCGATCCAGGGACTCCAGGATCGTGACCTGAGCCGAAGGCAGTCGCTTAACCAACTGAGCCACCCAGGCGCCCGCTTTACTGATTTTTAATTAGAAATTAAAGCATTTAGAATAATGTTTGTCAAATACAACTCATTTTTTTAAAGTTAATACAGCAAAAAGGCAAAATGGCAAACCATTTAAAATTTACTTTGAAGCTCAGTGTTTTTGCTTTCTTAGTTGTCTACCACCTCCCTCCCTTCTCCCTCCCTTCTCTCTTCAAATGGAGAGGATATAAGGAGAGTACAGATGCGGCAGGTCTTAAACGAAAGCGTTCTCAAGGTACAGTAATTGTAGTTTTATTTCTCCATGTAGTTATTTCTCCCTGGCTTACAGTATTCAGCATTTAAAGCGTAGAAATTACTAGTTTTTTAGAAATGTGTCTGTTGTGCTATTTTGCTTAGAGTTACTTAACTATAAGCGATATAAACATTTGTAAATAATGTGTGTGGTCCAGAGTAATGGGATGTTCACCAATACTAAGATGTTTTACTTTAAGGCAGCTTGTGGATGATTTGAAGAGGAACAAAATTTTGTTGGCTTAACACTGTTCTCTTAATATCTTAGTCTTGTAGTTTCAATGTTTTAAGCATATGTTGCTCAAAACTTTTAACAAAGATGTAGTTTGGAAACATTAGATAAAAAGGCATAAAATAGTGGTTTGGACCAGACATAGAAAAGTAAATAATTACTAAACTCTTGCAAAAGATTTTTAAAAGTTCTTTTATAAAAAAAGCTGAGCTTGTACATTGCTATTGTTTTTTTTGGATTGAACATTATTAATATTTGTTACATTCATTGCATCTTGGTCTGTGTTCAGTGTTAGTAATGTATCCTGACAGGTGAAATATAAATTGGTTTTTCATAAATTTTTGAAATTACATTTGTAACATAACTGAGAATAATTTCTCTGAAAGGATTTACTTTTCTATGTGTTTTAGTAGGGAATAGTTTTTCATAAAAATGACTTACGATCTTAGTTCTTGACCAGGGCTATGTAACCTTTCATATTTAAGTAGAGGTTATTTTCAACCCATCTTCAAATCAGAATAGTTAGACTCTGCTGGTAATCAGCTTTGTGGCAAGTCACTTACTCTTTTTGTACCTCTGGGTCTTTATATATAATGGGAGGTAATATTTTGCTTAAAAAGGATTTTTTAAAAAAATAAATCAGGCATAGCAGTTTTAAGGTGCGTACTTTTCTGAAGAGGGATATGTGGATTTTTCTCACCTCTATACCAGAGGTATAGAAAGGAAACTTTAAGGCCTTCAGAATATAAGAATTATCAAGTTATGAATGGATGAATATGTAAATGACAGTTCTCTTAATCCATTGCTTCCACAAACATTACTGAATTTGTGATACATGTCGGGCATTGTGCTAGGACACTGTGTTTGGTGCTAGTGGTACAAAATGATCAAGACATAGTACCTGCCTCAGAGAGTTTATGTATTTCTTGAGCATATAGGTTTGATTTTTTTTTTTCCTTAGAGCTTATTTTCACCAGGCATACCTTAGTTACAGAAATGCAATAACCATAGTGATTTGAACATCACAGTAGAAAAAATTTCTTTGATTTCTTACTAAAACATCTTTCAACTTTGGATTTCTGTTATGGTGAGCAATATCCAGTGATAATTGGTTTTTATATCCATTTCAAAACTACCATATATTCTCATAAATTAGGTTGTTCTCTTCCCAGTTTAAAGATAAAATTTTTTCCTCTTAGTCTTGTTTTGTCTTGCACTGAGTGAAATTTTCACAGATCCAAAAATAAAATCCACAGAAGAAAGGAAATTTAAGTTTCTATGTCAAAGGTATTGAGGACTTTCATGAAGGTATATATTATCCCTTAGAACTAAGAAATGGTCATTATCACGTGGGAAAGCAGTTCTTTAATAATCAGAACATATTAACTACATGTTAGAGGTTAAAATTATGGTGGTTAAGCCAGTTATTCTGTGTTGTTCTAACAAGTTGACATTCCCTATAGCATGGTTAATCATTTATAAAATAAAGTTCCTATCCATTACTTGCTTCACATCAATATGTGTTTCAGCAAAACAGTTTTTTATTGAACTGAGTTCAAATATTGATTCAAAAATCTGTGTGTTATAATTCTTCACACAAATGAGCAACTACATTAATTTTTCCTTTTTGCAACAGCTATTCATAGTTTCAAGTTGAGTCGAAATCATGTGGACTGGCACAGTATGGATGAAGTATATCTTTATAGTGATGCAACAACATCTAAAATTGCAAGGACAGTAACCCAAAAACTGGGATTTTCTAAAGGTAATTGTTAAATATTACTATAGTTTGTCAAAATTTTGAGAATCTTTTTCTCTTACATTCAAAGTAGACTGTTCAAATTCTATTTTTAGTATATTTTAAATATGTATTAAATTTAGTGACAGTTACTGTCCTATTAAATGAAACTTTTATTAAGGTGATTGAGTTCATATGTATTCATCAGTGATAATCATATATTTAGAATGATCTGACAGGATTAATAAATGTCTTTTATACTTCTAGAAACACAACAGCAGTCAAACCTCAGGCAGTGATGTGAAAATAAAACATGGCAATTGAAGGTGAAAACTAAAAATTTCTGTTGGAGGTAGTGAAATGGAGGTCATTGGTGACTTGGATGGATTGAGGGGGCAGAAGCTAGATTGGTGTGGGTTGAAGTCTATCTAGGTAGGTGAAGAAATGGAGGCAGTGAGAATAGACAACTCTTTCAAGAAGTGTGACTAAAGGGAAGAAAAGAGGAAATGGTACCTGAGGAAGATGTGAGAAAATTACTAATAAATTTTTCAGAAACTTTTGTTAAGTCTGATATTAAGGTTTTTTTTGCTATTCCATCTTTGTTGTGATTTCTTTGAAAACAGATGTGCTTGAATATCTTCTCTATGTTTACTAGTCATTTGTATTTGTTTTGTGAATTACGTTGTACCTTTAGCCCATTTTGCTATTTGAATGGTTATCTTCTCACTTTTTGTTTAGTAAGCTTTCTTTCATACCTCAGTAATTAACATATTTTGCAAAAATTTTCCCAATTTGTCTTTTAGCTTTGCTTCATGGAATTTTTTTGATAGAGAACTTTTTAAAATTTTTATGTGTTCTGTCCATCCCTCCCTCCTTCCTTTCCATTTTTCCTCTTGTTTCTGGCTTTAGCATCATGTCCAGTCAAGCACTTTATATCTGAGCCAGTCAAGGTACATCTTCTTACAAGTTTCATCCCCACCCAACCCAGTGAAATTTTTTCTTAAGATCTCTTTTACTTTATTATTTTCTTTCAATATATTGTCAAAATGTTATTTCTGGAATAAATAGTGAACTTAGAATCATAATTTTTCTACAGCATCAAGTAGTGGGACCAGACTTCATAGAGGTTATGTAGAAGAAGCCACATTAGAAGACAAGCCATCACAGACTACCCATATTGTATTTGTCGTGCATGGCATTGGGCAGAAAATGGACCAAGGAAGAATTATCAAAAATACAGCCATGTGAGTTCTTTGATGAATACATTCTCCATCTAGTCTAGAATCCAGACTTTGGTCTGGGGTATAACAGAGTTTAATCATTCTACCACATGTTTCTTCAGTGTACTCTAATATATCTTACTTTATAGATGGAATTTCTGGACCAAATTTTGAGAGTGATTATGTCCAGATGATGATGATGGTGATGATGATATTTGAGTTTTTTCCCCCTACAGCATGGAGAAGATGAAGGTTAAAAACGTAAAACTAGGTTAGGTTGAAAGCAAAGAAAAAGGCTTAATTTTCGGTTTGTATCTTACTCTCTGAACTGCAGAAACTGAGAATAATTGCAAAGTTGCATAATTATGAAAAACCTAAGAATCATTTAAATTGCCAGTCAGCAGTTTAACCTGACCAATTAATTACTACCAGGGGAAACCGAACTCTAAATTTTACACAGAGAACAGTGGGTGTTTTAACCAACACACATGGTATATTATTTACCTCATTAATTTATTTATATTCATCTTTATTCTAAAAAGTCCAACATGTTAGAGGGGTGGGGGATGTTTTTATTTGTGTGTGAGGACTGTGTTGAAGGGACATGTTAGGGTTAAAGATTCCACCACAAGTTTGGCTCTAAACTAGCAGCCAGTATGAAGAAAAATCTAATCGGGGATTCCTGTCTGGCTCAGTCTGTAGAGCATGCAGTTCTTGATCTCAGGGTCATGAGTTCAAGCCCCATGTTGGGCGTGGAGCCTACTTAAGATTGAAAAAAGAAAGAAAGAAAAATCTAATCATATTTATGATGTGATGAAAACAAACAGTTGTTGGTTCAGAGCACACTTTATCTGGTTCTGAGGCTTCAAGTAAATGCGTTTCTTGAGTCCTTTAGAACAAATACTGTGTGATACCAGGAACTTTGTCCTCATCAGCATCTCTCTAATAGTGCAGTGTTGAGTTTTGTTTCACTTTTTATTGTAATACCTCTTAATGCCAACTGATGGATTAAAGTAAAGGTACAGTTCAACTTTTAAAAACTTTGTCAGATACTGCCAAGCCACCCTAACTTTTGTCAGTCTTCATAGCTTATATTACAGAAAATCTCTTCCCTCTGATTCTGACTTTATTTTCTGGTGAGTTGCACATGACTTCTCGAATATTTATGTTTTTATTGTTAAAATGCTGATCTCTTGCTTGGATACCTAGGAACCTGAGACATAGGTTTAATGGCATGTTCTTTCTGGAGCTATTGATAAATGGGAAGGTATCACCTTGCTTATTTTGGGTGTAGGTTGGGGAAAACCTAACCCAAAAAGGCTTAAGCCTAAAGGAGGATTTAGTAATTCAAATCTAAGATTTGCCAGTCATGAGAATCCAGAATCCAGTTTCTGTCTACGCTACTTTCCTTCATTTTTTAGCTATTCTCAGACATCTGGTTCCAGATGTGATTTATATTATATTGTGTTCAACTTCAAGAAGAAAGAAGAAGCCTTTTTTTCCAGAAGTCCCAGCTAGTCTAGACATTTCAGTGACCAGTGGTGTTGCATCCAACTGCCTGAATCTACACATGTGGCCATGCAGGGTCTGATCTGTTGAACTTGTCATCTTTCCACAGTCAGATGGAAGTTGGCTTCATCATAATCATTGGGAGAGGTAGAGCCACAGATAAAAATCAAGAGCTAGTATTGGAAGTAGGATGAATGAATCCAAAGTGGCTCAAAAAAACCAAGTATCTGCTGGGGCACCTGAGTGGTGCAATTGGTTGAGTGTCCAACTCTTGGTTTCCACTCGGGTGGTAATCTCAGGGTCATGGGATCGAGCCCCATGTCGGGCTCCACTCTCAGCACTGAGTCTGCTTGGACTCTCTCTCCCCCTCTCCCTCTGCCCCTCATGCTCGTGCTTTCTCTCTCAAATAAACAAATCTTAAAAAAAAAAGTATCAGCTACAGAGAAGATTGCCGTCATTCCTTCAGAGACAGGTTAGTTTGATGGAAAACCCCCCACATAAATTAGTAATTGATAGAGAATAAACATAAAAGAATTCTGCTTAATAATAAATGGGGAAATCCAGAGGATCTCTTAATCCTTTCCCTGCTTTCTACCATTCCTAAGTTAGTCGTCCAATAAAAAGAGTAAAATTAACTTCATCTTTGTCACTGCCATTCTGAGTCTTGTTTGTATTTGTGAGACTACAGTTGAAATGAACAAAGTAGTATAAAGGGTTACAAGACTTCCCCCCCTCGACCCCCGGCAACATTTTGTTCTCTGAGGACCTCTTGAAATCATGTTTCAGAAACCTAGAATTAGAGGTTTATCCCTCACCTTATTTTAGTGATTGATGTGGATTGAGAAGAAAGTTGATAGACAACTTCTAGGAATATCAGAGCTGGTTTACTAAAAAGGATGAATGTATTTGAATTGGATTGGATTTACTTTTTGTAGCAATTTATTACAAGGGAAATCTTCACTGAACTTATATACTAATACCATAAATAAGTAATGTTAAAGCTATAATTTTAGAAGAGTATATTGATTTTTTTTTTTATTTTTTTTTAAAGATTTTATTTATTGACAGAGAGAGGGAGAGAGAAAACAACAGAGCACAAGCAGGGGGAGCGGCAGAAGGAGAGGGAGAAGCAGGCTTCCCGCGGAGCAGGGAGCCCGATGCGGGGCTCGATCCCAGGACCCTGAGATCATGACCTGAGCTGAAGGCAGATGCTTAACGACTGAGCCACCCAGGTGCCCCAAAATTGATTTTTTAAATAGGAAGTCCATTCACATGGTTGACAAATCAAAGCATAAAAATGTGCAGAGTGAGAAATCTGACTCCTGTCCTTATCTCCATCATCCCCCATTGTCCACTGTCCTTATGTCTCAAGGCAATGTTAATCATTTATTTTATATTGTTCTAAAGTTTCTTTAGGTAAATCCAGATTTTTTCACACAAAGGTGGCATATACACTTCTGGACCTTGCTTTCTTGTGTAAAAAGTGTACCTTGTTGATTGTTATGATTTTCTGTTTTTCTCCTTTCCTATATATGTCTTAATACCAATTTGTTTTATCAGTTGATTTTTTTTTTAATTGAGAATTATAAAGACTTATTCTTTTAGAGCAATTTAGTGATCCTTAATTGGACAGTAATTCTCAGGCACTATTAATCTCTTCCTTCCTTTTTCAAAATATCAACTAAATAAGCATTCATTGCCTAGCAGGGGAACATTGAAGTTTAATAAGCTTCTATAACAGGACGGAGCTTGTGCGTGGCCTTTCAGATGCACGGTCATGGGTTGTAGCTTGAGCCATAGCATAATGGTTTGCAAGCATTCCTGTTTTGTTGTTTCCTCCACCCTCCGTTGGTCTCAGTGTTTCTCATGTTGTCAAGACCTCTACATTTAGGAAATGTTTTACCATTTTTAGTAAGGCAAATCTGGGGACATAACCAATCTCTCTGTCCCTCCCTCCCTCCTACCCCCTCTCTTCTTCCTCTTCTTTCCTTCTCCTTATCCCCTTCCTTCCTCCATTTCTTACTGTCTTCTTTCATCTTTCCCTTTCCTTTTTTTTGAGTCATTCCTATTAATTACAACCAAGTGATTTAGGAGATATACCTGCTTGCCTAATCAGTATCTACATATGTGACCATCTGAGAACTAGGATAGTGATCCTGTGGAGTAGAGGACTGTGTAAGTTTACTGTAGAAGAGGACAGTATTTTAGGCTAATGTAGTGTTTTCCTGAGTTTATAATTCAGTCAGGGTTCCTCAGCCCTATCAGTTTTGACATATTTGATCAGATAATGCTAATTATTATATCATAATGAAATATGTAAGAACTATACAGTCATCAAACAAAAATGTGGGTAGAATAATATTAGAAATCTTAAAATATGGTCTTTCTTATACGTTCTCATACTTGTTAAAACTAAACATTTGAAAAGATGGCAAAGAAACTTAAAAATGTGTTTATAACCCTTATTGGAGTATCTGCTGTAAAAAATAAAACAAAAACAAAATAGACTCTGTGGGTAATGAAAGAGATCATGCCTTCAAGTCTGAAGTTTTGGCTGTCATTTATTTTCAGTAATGATAAAGGAAGCAGATTTTCCTTTTGGCAACCTAGAATTTATTTAGATGTTTTTAAAGGCAACTGTGAGGATATACAATCAGTAAAATGTAATCATATTGTAAATATTGCCTTTTAAAATATACTAGAAATGGAGATAGACTTTTTAAACAAATAGTATTGGGATAATTAGATAGCCATAGGAAAAAAATAAAATTGGGTCCATTTCTCACACTCAGATAAATTTTTATTGGATCACATTTAAATATAAGAAATGAAGCCATACAAATACTATGGATTTAAAAGGTGGAATTGAGGGGAATTTGAATTCTTCTACACTTTAAGAATAGAGAAAACTGTGGGCACCTGGGTGGCTCAGTCGTTAAGTGTCTGCCTTCGGCTCAGGTCATGATCCCAGGGTCCTGGGATCTAGTCCCACATCAGGCTCCCTGCTCGGCGGGAAGCCTGCTTCTCCCTCTCCCACTCCCCCTGCTTGTGTTCCTGCTCTCACTATCTCTCTCTCTGTCAAATAAATAAATAAAATCTTTAAAAAAAAAAAAAAGAATAGAGAAAAGTATCCTAACTATGACTTGATCCAGAAAAAAAAGCTATGTTGACAAAAACATAAAATAAGACAAGCTGAGAGAAACCATGTGCAGCTTTTATATCACAGATAAATAGTATCCTTAATATATAGGGAACTTCTAAAAATAAAGAAAAAATATCTGGCTACCTTTTAGAAAAATGGGCTAAAGAGGTGAACATCTAATTCCCAGAAAAGGAAATGCTCAATCAAATGTAAATTAAAATTGCACTAAGATGCCATTTCTTGACTATGAGATTAGCAAAAAATCCAAAATTTGACAATATACGCCTTTAGCCAGACTGTAGGTGATAGGCATTCTCATACTGCTAGTAAACTGCAGTGAAGAAGAGAGAATGTGGGAATGTGTGTCAAAATTATATATGCATTTATTCTTTGACCCAGCAAACTTAACTTGGGAATCAAGGATAATATCAGCAAAAATATTTTTAAAAAGATATATGCACAAAGCTATTCTTTGCAGCATTATGTGTAATGGGAAATTACCCAAATGTGCATCAGTAAGAGACTGGTTGATAAACTATGGCTATTTATATGATGGAAAACTATGCAGCTGTAAAACAATGAGGATGACCTCTATATATTATTGTGGCTCTTTGAAAAGATTGGCAAAACTGAGAAACCTGCAGCTCGACTGACCAAGAAAAGAGAAGATTCAAATTACTAAAATCAGGAATGAAAGAGGGGACATAATTACTAATCTTACAGAAATCAAAAGGATTATAAGGGAATAGTAAGCATAATTCTGTGCCAACAAATTAGATAGCCTAGATGAAATGGACAAATTCCTAGAAAGATACACACTACCAAACTGATTTGATGACCAGTAAGAAGATATAGAAAATCTAAATTGACCATTAACAAGTAAAGCATTTGAATTAATAATCAATAAACTTCCTTCCAAAAAAAAAAAGGCTCAGGACCAGATGGCTTCACTGGCAAATTCTGCAAAACAAAAACACAAAAGAGGAGCACCAATTCTTTATAAACTCTCCAAAAAATGGAAGACGAGAGAAAACTTCTCAACTCATCCTTTGAGGCCAGTATTGCTGTGATGCCAAAAACAGACAAAGATACCATAAGGAAAAAAAAACCTATAGACCAGTATCCCTTGTGAGTACAAATCAATATTTCTTATGGACACAAAAATCCTCAACGAACTGAATCCAGCAGCACATAAAGATTATACACTATGACCAAGTGGGATTTATCTCAGGGATGCAAGGTTGGTCTGACATATTTTTAAAAGAAATCAGTCAAGGGTAATAGAACAAAGGAAAAAAAAAAACATACCATGTGGTTTTTGATGCAGAAAAGGCATTGACAAAATTTAACACCCTTTCATAATGAAAACACTCAGGAAACTAGAGAGAGAAGGGAATCTCCTCAATCTGATAAAAGGCATGTACAAGCCCATGACTAAAATTATACTTTAACAATGAAAAACTGAAAGCTTTTCCTCAAGATCAAAAACAAAACAAGGATGTCCCCTCCCAATTCTGTTCAACATTGTACCATAGGTATCAGCCAGGGCAATTAGACAAGAAAAAGAAATAAAAGAGATCCAGATTATAAAGGAAGAAATAAAATGATCTCTGTTTACAGATACCATGATCTTATAGAGAGAAAATACTAGGGAATCTATACATACACACAAAAAAAACTACTACAGCTAATAAATGAACTCAGCAATTAATAATCTGAAAATTAAGAAAGCATTTCCAGGTGTGCCTGGCTGGCTCAGTCAGAAGAGTATATGACTCAATCCCGGGGTTGTGATTTCAAGACCCACGTTGGGGGTAGAGTTTATTTTAAAAAAAGAAAAGAAAAAGCATTTCCATTTATTACAGCATCAAAAAAAATAACCTACTTAGGAATAAGTTTAACAAGAGAAATGTAAGATTTGTACACTGAAAACTACAATACACCTTTGAAAGAAATTAAAGAAGACCAAATAAAAACAACAGTTGTGGATTAGAACATTTAATGTCATTAAAATGGCAGTACTTCCCAAATTGCTCTACAAACTTAGCACATCCCTATTAAAGTCCTACCTGTCTTTTATGCAGAAATTGACAAGTTGATCCTAAAATCCATATGGAAATGCAAGGAACCCAGAACAGCTAAAGCAATCTTGAAAAAGAACAAAGATAGAAGACTTACACTTCCCAATTTCATAACTTGCTACAAAGCATGATCCCAGTGGAATAGAATTAAGAGTTCAGTTGATTTTCAGCAAAAGTGCCAAAATAATTCATTGAGGAAAGAATATTTTTAAGTAGGCTCCATACCCAGAGTGGAGCCCAATGCAGGGCTTGAACTCATATCCCTGAGATCAAGACCTGAGCTGAGATCAAGAGTTGGATGCTTAACTGACTGAGCTACCCAGGTGCCCCAAGTATAGCCCTTTAACAGTTGGTGCTGGGACACCTGGATATCTATCTGCAAAAGAATGAAATTAAAACCCTACCTCACACACAAAAAATTAATTCAAAATTAATCAAAGACCAAAATATAAGAGCCAAAACTATAAAACTCTTAAAACATAGGAGTATATCTTTGTAACCTTGGATTAGGCAATGGTTTCTGAGATACAACATCAGAAGTAGAAGCCACAGAGGGAAAAAGAGATAAATTGGACTTCAGCAAAAGTTATAACTTGTTCTTCAAAGGACATCATCAAGAAAGTGAAGACAACCCACAGAATGATTTACAAATCATAATCTGAGAAGGATCTATAGTATCTAGCATGTATAAAGATAAAAAAAGAACTCAATTTTTAAAATAGATAAAGGATTTGAAAAACATTTGTCCAGTTAAAATATACAAATGGCCCTTAAGCACATGAAAAGATGTTCAATATCATTAGGCATTAGGGAGATGCAATTCATAACCACAAAGAGATGCCACTCCACACCCGCAAAGTTGACTGTCATCAAAAAGATGGAAAATAACAAGTGTTAGTGAGGATGTGGAAAAATTAGAACCCTCATGTTGCTGACGGGATTGTGCAGTAGTACAACTGCTTTGGAAAAGAGTTTAGCACGTCTTCAAATATTTAAACGTAGAGTTAGCATACCAGCCCATAATTCCACTCCTAGGTATATATCCAAGAGAATTGGTAACCTATCTACACAAAAACCTGTTAAAGAATATTCATAGCGGGGTGCCTGGGTGGCTCAGTCTTTAAGCGTCTGCCTTCGGCTCAGGTCAGGGTCCCAGGGTCCTGGGATCGAGCCCCGCATCGGGCTCCCTGCTCCGCGGGAGGCCTGCTTCTCCCTCTCCCACTGCCCCTGCTTGTGCACACACACACTCTCTCTCTGACAAATAAATAAATAAAATCTTAAAAAAAAAAAAAGAAACACTTCAAATAAGTTTTAAGTGTATGAGTTAGTAAAGATGTCAAAAAATATACAAGCTAAGAACTCAGTATTTTGAAAATTGTTAATAAAAGGGAAGAATTAACCATTCATTTTGCCTTTTCTCAGTTCATAAACTATTTGGTTGTACTACAAAGCAGCCAAATATTTGATGTGAGGAAATTTCTAGAAGTATAAGCTTTATAAAGAAATAAGGCGTAATGGAACCATAATAAATTAATCAATCTAAGTAATGATCGTCATAACTCCTAGTGTGACCAAAAAGAGACCACCACATTTGTATGCACCCATGGAGTAGTAGTCTTGCCAAAACAACAGAACTTGAATCTGATCAAGCCCCTGTATCTCACTAACAAATTACAGGAAATAGAGAACAAAGAACATGTTAAACAATACCACGGGGTTGCAGTCATTAAAAACCAGACTCTCAGGAACTCTACAGGACAAAAATAAATTGTAAAACAAAACCAAAAAAAAAAAAAAAAGGTGAGGGGAACTGATAGATTAAAAGACACGGGATGCCTGGGTGGCTCGGTTGGTTAAGGCTCAGGTCATAATCTCAGGGTCCTGGGATCAAGCCCTGCATCGGGCTCCCTGCTCGGCTGGGAGCCTGCTTCTCCCTCTGCCCCTGCCGCTCCTCCTGCTTGTTCTCTCTCTCTCTTTCTCTCTCTGTCTCTCTGACAAATAAATAAAATCTTAAAAAAAAAAAAAGACGCGTAAGAGACATACCTACCAACTACAGTGCACGGACTATACAGTCCCCCACCTTATCTGCAGTTTCACTCTCTGTGATGTCAGTTATCTAGTGTCATCTGCATCTGGAAGCAGGTGATAGTAGCCTAACACTACATCACCATGCCTGTGTCATTCCCCTCACTTCATCTCACCGCACAGACATTTTATCATCTCATGTCATCACAAGAAGGAGGAGTACAATGCAATAAGATTTTGAGAGAGAGACCACATTCATACAACTTTCATTACATTATATTGTTATAATTGTTCTATTTTATTATTAGTTATTGTTATTAAGCTCTCACTGTGCCTAATTTATAAATTAAACTTTATCATAGGTGTGTATGTATAGGAAAAAACAGTACATGTAGGGTTCAGTACTGTCTGCAGTTTCAAGTATCCACTAGGGGTCTTGGAATGTGTCCCCACATATAAAGGGGAGGACTATTGTATTTGGAGCTCAATTCAGACAAGTGTAAAAATATATTTTATGTTAGAAAATAACATTTCTAGTCTAACTGGGAAAATGGGACCACTGAACTACATCTTTGCTGAAATTAAAAAATTGTTAAAAGTTTTGGTATGATAATAGTACTAAATAGGTTATGTTTTCCTTATATTTTAGAAATAGCTACTAAACAATTTACAGATGAAATGATGTGATGTCTGGGATTTGCTTTAAAATATTATGGGGGAAGGGTGTTACTATAAAGGGTTAGTATGAGGGAATTTTGGGGGGAAGATAGAACTAGTTTGTATCTTAATTGTGGTGGTGCTAACCACAAATCTCTACAACTGACACCAAAAGGGAAAAGATGTCAATTTTGCTATATCTTAATTTTAAAAATAAAATTTAAAAATTCATATTATGGAGAGAATGAGTGGAGGAATAGATGAAATAAGACAGGCCATGACTTGCTAATATTTGGAACAGAGTGATGGCAGAAGAGGGGGGGATTTCGTTGTCCTACTCTCTCTACTAAAAATTTATACATATAATTATTTAGAATATAATGTGAAAGTTTGTAATATTTGAAATCATAGATGACAAATTTAGGGAAATAGCTTTGAAATTAAGGTTTCCTAGTATTGTGAACTATTGCATAGTGTAACGATGATTGAAACATTATAGGATGAAGTTAGAAGCAAGTGGAAGTGGTATGATTAAAGACATTTTATACTGTATAAGTACATATGAGAAATTACTCTGATAATGTTTTGTTTTTATTTTGTTTTTTTTTAGGATGAGAGAAGCTGCAAGAAAAATAGAAGAAAGGCATTTTTCCAACCACGCAACACATGTTGAATTTCTGCCTGTTGAGTGGCGGTCAAAACTTACTCTTGATGGAGGTACAGTTTGTTTAAAAATTAAGTGATTTAGTCAGTGGAAACAAGGTGTTGCTCGTTGGGAACAAAGTGTCTTTCATTTAGTTGTCTTGAGGTATAGTCACTCTTTGTTCTAGATAATTTAAGAAAATCCACTGATTTTTATTTTTTTTTATCTCTTTTTTATTAACATATAATGTATTATTTGTTTCAGGGGTACAGGTCTGTGATTGATTCTTAAAATAATTATATTGACATATGTTGATTTGGATCACCATATAGATTTCACAGATAGCCCAGTTTTTATGCATGCCTTCTGTGGACTAGGGGGTGGGGCAGGGGAATGGGGAGCATGTGGAGGGAACAAAATATTGTCTTAAGTTTTTGACAGAAAGTGATTTGTTGACAACTTTAAAAATATTTGTTGTCCACAATTCCATATGAGCTTACATTTTCTTTCTAATAATTTTCTTTTCCTATATTTGGAAGATAAAATCTCAGGTTTTTTGTTTTCTTTTGTTCCTGCATTCCCTGGGCTGGTAAATTATAATCTAGCATAGAGAAATTATACAATATATTTGTTTAAATAAAATCATTTTTGTTTGCTTCCTTAAAGAGTTATGAGCTAAAATATGCACAAAGCTGTGACCTTTTAATATTTAAACCATTAGGATGGCATGTTTCAGTTGATGATTTGCATAATCTGGAAAATGAAAGAGTTTTAGACATATCAGCTGCTGTTTGTGGAGCTTTTACTGTGTGCCTGGCATTCCATAGTTCATTTTGCATGGAGTTTCTCATTTAATTTTCTCATATAGCTATGAAATATACCTACTTTGTTTTCTCTACTTTACTGATAAGGAAACTGAAACTCAGTGAAAGGTGAATGAATTTAACTAAGAATGGCAGGAATCTAGATCTGTATGATACCAGAGCCCTTATTCATCACATCACTAACCTGCCTCCCTGGATGATTTCCAAGGATTCTTACAAGTCTGTGGTTCTATCTCATAGTCAGTTAGCAATGTCAGTTATAGCTTATAAACCAAAATGGTATCCAAAGTTGTAACGAATTTAAAAAAAAAAAAATACTAGTGATCAGAGAAGACTTCTCAACAGCAGGAGCTCATACATAAGGTTCTAGTGTAATTAACACTATCTTTTGGGCTTTTCCCATTTACCCAGATAAATTTCTGAGGCTGCTCAGGAATGTACACAGTATGGATGAGTTAACATTTAATAAAACTGAATCTGTAATTTTCCATTAGGTTTAAACTACTGTGATAGATTCTCAAAGGCATTATGCTGAGTGAGAGAAACTAAAGGAAAAACACCACTGTTTCTATTCTCAATACTTCTGATACCAAAGGTATGGAGGTTTTTCCCCATACCAGCTATTTCTCCAATTCTGGGATCCTGGAATTTAACTCAATTCTGCCACAAACTCCCCAGAGAGAGTGCAGTCAGATTCAGGACTCAGTCCCACAAGACTGCCCCCTACTTCAGATGCCATCACACATTCCAGATTGTCACTTATACATCTGACTGACTGGCTATAAATTGGGGAAGGGGATCCCGTGACCCTATCCTAAGGTTCAATAATTGACCAGATTCACCACAAAACTCAGGGAAGCATTTACTTACATTCACTAGTTTAAAACACATTTACTGATTTAAAAGGGTGTTACAAAGGATACAGTAAAAAGCCAGATAAAGAGCTATGTAGGGCAAGGTATAGGGAAGGGGTGCGGTGATTTCATATCCTGTCCAAGTGTACCACACACACGTGTGTGCCAGTCTGGAGGCTCCCCAGACCCTGTTGTTATTTAAGAGTTTTTACGGAGGTTCCATTCTGTAGGGATAATTGGTTAAATCATTGGCAATTGACCTCAGTCTCAAGCCCCTCTCCTTTACGGATGTCAGGGATGGGGCAGAAAGTTCAACCCTCCAATCACATGGTTGGTTCCTATGGCAGTCAGTTCCCATCCTTCAAGAGTCACCTTATTAGGGTAAACTCAGGTGTGGTTGAAAGAGGCTTATATGAATAATAAAAGACATTTCTTTCACACTATCACTCAGGAAATTATAAGGGTTTTAGGAACCCTGTGCCAAGAACCAGGGACAAAGACCAAACATGTGTTTCTTATTACAGTTGGCCCTTGAATAATTGGGGGGGCGGGGTTAGGGGCACTGACCAACCGCCCACGCAGTCAAAATTTGTGTATAACTTCTAACTTTTCAAAATCTTAATTACTGGTAGCCTACTGTTGACCAGAGTCTTACTGATAACATAGTCAGTTAACACATGTTTTATGTTATGTGTTTATATACTGTATTCTTATAATAAAGTAAGCTAGAGAAAGTGTTATTTAGGAAATTATAAGGAAGAGAAAATGCATTTACAGTACTGTACTGTATTTACCAAAAAAAAAATCCATGTATGAGTGGACCCTCACAGTTCAAACCCTTGTTGTACAGAGGTCAGCTGTATATCACAGTATTACAGAAGCCAGTCTCAAAGGCTGCATAACATGTGCTTCCATTTATATGACATACTGGAAGAGGCAAAACTGTAGGGACAGAGAACTGATTAGTGGTTACAGGGTTTAAGGGAGGGTTTAAATTTAAAAGGGAATTTTTTAGGGTGATGGAACAGTTCTGTATCCTGATTATCATGGTAGTTAGCAAAAGCATATATGCATTAAAACTCAAATGTCAATTTTACTGTTTGTAAATTCAAAAACATTGATTAAGAGTATTTACCCTCATTTACCGTTACTGTCCTCATTGGTATTGAAGGACTAAAATCATTTCCTTCAAATTAGGAAGAAGCTAAGGATGTCTACTCCTATAACAGATACTCAATTTGAAAGCTTAACCAGTATAATGAGATAAGGAAAAGAAATAATAGCTTTAAGGGATGGAAAAGATATGTTTTCATTTGCAGGTCTGATGGTTGTCTACACAGAATATACAAAAGAATCTAAGGAAAAATTATTAGAATTAATAAGATAGTTTACAGTGTTGTGAAATAAAAGATCTGTATGCAAAAATAACTGCATTTGTATATGCCAGCACAAACTGTTCAAAATAGCATAAAAATACAAGGTTCCTAGAAATCTAATAAAATACGTATATTTATATTAAAATGAAAAAACAAAAAATATTAAATATAACTTTTAAATATATACAAAGATCATTTTTGTAGATTGGATGGTTCAATATCCTAGAAATATTAATTCTCCCAAACTGATCTATAGATTCCACACAATTCCAATCAAAATCCCAATAGAGTTTCATAAAACTTAACAAACTGATCCCAAAATTATTGTAGAAAGATCAGAGGCCCAAAAATGGCCAAGAATCAGAACAAGAGGGTGGAGAGGGTGTCATGTCCTGGTAGATAACTGGACCGTTTTTTAATTTTTGTATTTAAGACAATTTAGATTGGCACGAGGATAGTCAAACAGATCAGTACACCAGACTAGAGACCCCTCAAACGGATTTATGCTTAATTTGGAAACCTGGTGTATGACAGACCCGGCATTACAGATCGCGGGTGAAAGGATGGCCTGTTCCATAAATGGTCCTTGGTAACCAGTTATCCTGTGTGGGGGGGGGGGGGGGGGGGGCGGAGGTGGTGAGAATGATTCCTACCTTACATTCCAGAAGATCAAACACATAAGCCAGGACTTTAAAACATATTAGAAAAAAAATATGGCACAAAAACACAACTATAAAGTAACATTGGTAAGTCTGATTAGATTGAAATTAAGAACTTCTTTTTCTTAATAGACAACATAAAAAATGAAAGACAAGCCACAAACGGAAAAGATGTTGCAACAGAACAACAGATATAACCACCAAAGCTTTAATATCCAGAATAAAGAACAGGAAACTTAAATGGAGCTAGATAGGCAGCACATACATACACATATGTGTGTGTGTGTATATATATATATGTAGGGGTGTGTGTGTTATATTTTTTAATTATATATTTTCATATATAAAATGTACATCTCTCTAGTAATCAAAGAGATGCAGGTTAAAACCACAATGAAATATCTTCTAGCCTTCAGGCAAAAATTTAAGAAAGTGACAATACCAAATGTTGGTGAGGATGTACAGCATTGACAATTCTCATTGACTATTGGTAGGAATGTGAATTGGTACAATCTATTTGGAAGATGGTTTGACATATTCATATAAAGTTGAGTATGCATGTGCCCTATGACACAGCAGTTTCACTCCTAGATGTATATACCCTAAAGAAACTCCTATACATACGCACCAGGAGACATGTACAACAGTGTTATTAGGAGCATAGTTTATATTAGCAAAAAACTAAAAACAACCCAAATGTCTTTCAAAGGAAAATGGGTGCATTGTTAGGTATGTGTGAAATCCTATACAGCAGTGAAAATGAGTGGATTACAGCTATATGAATCTCAGAAGCACGCTATTGGGGGTGAAATAATTCGATTTACATAGTGTTGAGAAACAGACAAAATGAAATAAAATAGGCTCTGGCACATAGTAAATGCTATAGTATTGGCTAAAGTTATTAATATTAATGAACATGTAACAAATCTATAAATCTATAAAGCAAGAGTGTAACACCAGCTTCTTATGGGTGGTTACTTAGGGAGAGCCATGTGATCATTTAGGGATATACTGTGGTTTCAGAGATACTGGCAATATCTTTTTTTTTTTTTTTTTAAGATTTATTTATTTATTTATTTGACAGAGACACAGCGAGAGAGGGAACACAAGCAGAGGGGGTGGAAGAGGGAGAAGCAGGCCTCCCACCGAGCAGGGAGCCCGATGCGGGGCTCGATCCCAGGACCCTGGGATCGTGACCTGAGCCAAAGGCAGATGCTTAATGACTGAGCCACCCAGGCGCCCCGATACTGGCAATATTCTTAAGCTAGGTGGCAGAAACATGTTTTCCCGTATATAAATTATTCTTTCAAATGCACATACATATTAAATATCTTCTTTGTATGTATGTGTATTTTCCAGTAAAAACTTTTTTTTGGAAATGCATTAAAATGGCATTGAAACTCTTTGTATCAGCATAGTAGTCACATCTTTCACTTTTACAATTTAAAAATGGGTTGTGCTACCCATATCCTTTACATCTTTGAAAAGACTTCTAGCTTTGCTTGAATCATTGTGGTCCAGTCATTATTAGATTGTATTAAAGTAGGGAATAAATAAATTAAATAATAAATTAAAGTAGGGAATAAATAAAACCAAACCAATTCAGTGAAAAACTGAAGAACTGCACTAGACTAAAAATATAAGCCTTCTCCTGCCTAACTTGTTCTTCCATATTATGATATTAATCCAGGTATAGGGCTTCTTTATATTTCTGTGAGAAATGCAAAGTTTCCTGTATCTCTGATCATTAGGCATTTCAGAGAACAAGCTTCCCAAGATAGAATTTCCATGGGTTAGCTGTAACTCAGGAATGCTAAATTGTTTGCAGTGCAGTGTAAGTGACTTTCTTTTTTCAAAAGCAAATTATATCAATTTATCTTGTTTACTGAAGAGGACCTTTGCTGATTTGCCTTTGTGCATATTTGTAATTTGGCAGCTTTTGCCCATAGGATCTTGGGTTCACTAGAGAGATGTATGTAAAGCATAGGGAAACTTTAATTTGTTGCCGGTTTGTCACCAGTGGTGGTGGGCATTCCACATGGGTATTGCCAGGCCCAAGGTACAGAGAGCAAAGAAGAAGAGAAAGGAAACAGAAAAAGTACAGGAAGAGTGAGGTCGTGTCCCTTAACACTTGTTCCAAGAACCGAGATGGCCTCGTTTTGCTCTGGGTACCCCTGAATGTCATGCAAAAGCCAGTACATAAGAAAAAATGGTAAATCTTTATAGCTTTTATAATGGCTTTCATCCTTAATGTTCCTTTTCTTCCCGTGTCCCCTTTTAGTCTTTTACTGTTTTGGGTTTTTTTCAACATTTTGCAAGAAGGGAAAGTTCATTAGATCCAAAGCCACTCTTGAACTTTCAAACATGGACTTGAAGACCTGTTGTTTCAAAGAATGTAATTTTTTTCGCAATTTATTTTTTCCCTAAAACAAAGATCTTCTGTAAGTTTAATTTTTTTTTAAATTTGTAGACACTGTCGATTCCATTACTCCTGACAAAGTACGAGGTTTAAGGGATATGCTGAACAGCAGTGCAATGGACATAATGTATTATACTAGCCCACTTTATAGAGATGAAGTAAGTATCATGATTATCTTGTTGCTGTTGGGTATTTTTTAGAGTGATAGCATATGTGTCCTGCATTTTAAGTTTTTATGCACTTTTTTTTAATAAGCAAATGAGAATTTGCAGGAATCCGTTAACCTATAAATAGCCTGTGTTTAATGGTAAATTTGATTATCTTCAAACTATAATTGGGAAACCCTTAATAAAATGGATAACCTTGGAAGTCAGAGATTGGTTAGAAAACAACCAGTTTTTGTAAATGTGATTAATTTTATCTATAATTATTGTCCTCACAAAAAAGTTTTAGACACTTAAGAAATTTCCTTCCAAGTTTTTTGATTGTAATAGACTTGCATTTATTGTGTCATTTCTGTAGTGAATTCGTATGGTTCTTAAATTGTAATGTTGCTGATGCATTACAAAAATAACCCTGGGGGGAGTGGGTAAGGGTAAAAGTTTATTCAGAGGGATGAGAGACTCTCCACTGAATGCATTTTGTCACTTTATTGGTAAGAGAAAAAATTCTGTTTCATAGGAATAACCTTGTTAATTACCTAGCATATGTTAGCTTATCTAATCCTCTCATAAAAACCCAATGAGGTAGATATAATTAGTATCCTCATTCGAAAGATGAAGAAACTGGTACAAGGAGTAGTTACCTACCAGTAGAGCTGCTCTGTGCTGCTCCAAGCCAGTTCATTTCTTGATTCTGTTCATTCAAAGTCATCCCTGATTTCACTCAGGATATCCCTTGCATATCTACAGAAGTATATTAGGTTAATTGCCACAGAACTTCCTTCTCTTTGGGCTGCGATCCCCTCAGGATTTTTCACCATTCCTCTTTCTATATCCCCTCATTGTCGTATCCCAGTATGGGATAAAGTCTGCCTTGATCTGCTTGATAACAGTAAAAGAAAATACAATAAACAGTAAAAAGAAACTATAGTGGACTTCATTCTAACCCAAAAAGGAAGGCCTGGTTCATGAAGTAGAATACTAATAATTTACATGTTCATATCCATTGTTGGATATGCCCTAAAGGTTAGGAAATTGTGAACTATAGTATTGCAAGTGAAACCAGTAAGGGGGGAAAAAAAGGAGAGAATGGCTGAGAGCATATAACATATACACACACACACACACACACACACACTCATAAACCATAAGTATACCTTAAACACACACAACAGGTATATGGTTGGTAGGTTTCCTAAGAAGGTATCCTGAATGTTTTTTTTTTCTTTTTTTTTTTTTTAAAGATTTT